TGGAGAAGGGCTGCATGAAAAGCAGGCACTTTCATTACACGAGGGCAAGAGGTTCTGTTTCACAGCGGAAAACTGCTGCAGTCTGCACTTTGCACGTCCCCCATCCCTGTTCCATCCCCGAGCAACAGCATGCCATTTTCCACACAGCACCAGAAACAGAAATACTGTAGCAAAAGCTCCTCGCATTTCTAAAGCACTTTTCACCCCAAAGCAATTCATACAGGAACATCCAGTCCTCTAAACCCAGTCTCTGCCGTCGCTTTTCAAGCTGAGTTTCATTGGCATATTCACCTCACAGATCTGTCACTGGGTATGAAAAAGAACCGGGCGAGATCAGGGAACGCAGCTCCCGAGATCCCAGGCGCAGAGTGAGCTCGGTCCACTATTGCATTTTCTTTCTCCGACCCGGTCAAATGAACCGCAGGCCGGCACTCAAGGGAGGGCGCTGAGCGGTTTCCGCGCCGGCGTGGACAGAGCAGCTGGACGCCCGGCGAAACACGGCCCTGCCCGATACACGGCGCCCCCGACCCGCTCCGCTCCGCTGCTCGAGCCCGGGTGAGGAAACGGCTGTGAGTTTGCACCTGCTGTCCTCATTAGCGGGCGAGGGCGACACGTGGCAGGGCCTGGGCAGGGGACAGGCTCGAGACAGATTGGGCCTCATCAGGAAGGCCCGTTTCCCTGCACTAGGAGTCTTTCTAATGAGGCCATCATTCCTATTCTCTGAGCAAAACAGAATCAAGCAGCCTGGCACAAACACACCCCCTTATTTCCTCTGATAATGGCAGAAGCTGCACTGCGCTGCGCTGTACGGAACTACACTTCACAGTTCGCTTTGCCTCAGTCGCCGGTCAGCAGAGACAGCTCCCGTCTGGTGCACCCCAGCTCTCTGCTCGCTGTCACCCGCGAGAGCGAACCACACGCGCGTGCGAGGCGCGCTTGCACACATCCTGCACTGCCTGGGGTAAATTAGATTTCCGCCCACTCGGCCCCGGACACACTCCACAGCAGGCTGGCAGGGAGGGACGGCGCAGCACAGAGAGGGAGCAGGGCTACGAGAGAGAGTGCTTGCTGTGTGCTTCTGCTGTACGTGTCTGTGAGGTGTGTGGCGGTATGTCTGTGCGTGCACTTCTGTGTGTGTGTAATGGGTTGGCGTATTTCTGAGTGTGTGGTGTGTCTGTGTGTGTAACGGGTATGTGTATTCTGTGTGTGTGTAATTGGAGTGTGTATTTCTGCATGTGTGGGTAATGGGTGTGTGTATTTTTGCAGGTGTGTAATTGGTGTGTGTATTTCTGTGTGTGTGTAACAGGTGTGTGTATTTCTTTGTGTTATTGGAGTGTGTATTTCTGCATGTGCGTGTAATGGGTGTGAGTCTTTCTGTGTGGTGTGCCTGTGTGTGTAACGGGTGTGTGTGTGAAAAGGAAGCAGGTAATTACAGCCTTTCTCTAAACCGCCCGTTTACTCTGCAGCCAGCTGCTCTCTCATTACAGTAAGAGCTGTGTCGCTCGCTGCCGGCTCTCAGCGGCTCTGACTGCGAAGATTGCGTTACACTGACAGCGCTGACAGCACTATGGGAGTCAGCACCTCCTGCAGTGTCGTGTTCCCC